TCTCACGGTAAATGTAATTGACATTTGGCAAAAGCCACATACAAATGCGAAATAGAAAGTGAATAAGGAGAAAGGGCTAGCTCAGTACATAGACCCAGTGATGGGATTCAAATATTTTTGTCAGCCGTTTTTTTCACAAAAGTCATATTTTTCAGTCGGTTCTGTTACAAACAGAATATTGACAGTAACCAGTAATGCTAACCGGTTCGCTGATCTCATAAAATTCCGTAAGACGGTTCTATAAAACCGGTGCAAACCGGCTGAATCCCACCACTGCATAGACCCCAGTATCTTCTAAATATAATTAGTTCAAGGTTTTCCCGTGAATGGCACCCACGCTCCCACAACAAGGCACCAAACACCCTGAAGGCATTAAAGCTTATTATCCAGACGTTAGAAAATTGATTCGGCTTTTAGTCCTCAAACCACATGTGATGGACAAATTGTAATAATATCGTAAAACCACATCTGGTTACGGCTGCAATAATAACAATTTTATATCAGTTATGCAATTTTATTTTCGGCTACACTAACTACTTATCTATCTTTTATACCAGTGGCTCCCAAACGATTGGGGCTTGCCCAACAAGGGGGCATTGACAATTTTTTGAGGGGACGTGAAAGCCATTTACGAATAAAAATATTTTTAGATTTGATTTTACCCGGCTTACTTTGGATATTTCAAAACTTTTCATTATTTCATTCCTTACGTTCCATCCACGTATTTTCAACATGTTTTTTGAATAAAACATATTTTCGCCTTATTATATCTATGGATCGTTTTGTTGTTATGTTGCAGTTTTTCTTCTTTTTGTTGTTTTTCTTTTTCTTCTCTTTGTTGGGAAAACTCGCTTTTCTATTCAACTACTGGACTAAAAACTTCCATTTATTTAGGATTGTTGTTATCGCTAGAAGGCCATTACTTATATTTATTTTAACTTTTCTATTAATCCTGTGAGATCTGATATCCCATTTTGATTGAGGAACTCGTGGTACGCAAAGGTTGAAGGGTATTTGATACCAGCAACGCACAGTAGGAACTGTGACGTTAACTAGTTATCCCAGTGGCGGGGCACTTGACAAATTCTAACAAGAAGACACAGCTTAAAAGGTTTTAGAACCACTGTTTTATACCTTTGCACAAGTGGAAATATATACATATAATGCAAGGATGCTGTAGCAAGCGTAAAGATAACTATTCTGAGTTATACAACACATTTGCTACTTTTCCTTTATTTATGTCTTTGCGCTGGTGGATGTGTATACTTCAAAAGATGCTTTTTAGGATTCGGTCGTGGTTCCCATACCGCGGCCAGCGAGCCTATTAGGGCCTGTGTAACGATTTAATACGGCATGACGAACTATGCGAAATAGTTTAACAAGATGTTTTTACCTTTTTGCATTCTAGATACCGCCAATTATCACAGTTTTAGCATGTGTATATTCGCAACAATTCAATTATATCTTAATTATCTCAACTGTACCGACTCCTTGCAGGTGCTCCCCTCTTATTGCCCGCGAATATCCTTTCGCTCTGGTCAGTCGACTTTGGGATCCGCTGCAATAGTGACCCCTTACCTAGCAATGTCCACTTCCTGCTTCAGCAGAGCCTTGTTCTGAGCAACAGACACATGAATATAAAAAATATTGCAAAACGATATACCAAGACTATTCACTTGACATTCAAAAAACAGTATGATCGCCATTATTACCACAAATGCCAAAACAATTACGCTAAGTATGATACTTGAATTACATCTTGTTGATGTCCAAGTAATTCTAATAATAAAATAGAAATAATCCCTCAATTATTTGCGCTTAAATTGCCCAAGAATTAAGGTATCGGTTTACCACATATTAATATTTAATGTTCTGCTATATTATACTTGAACCTGCGATAATGTAACTTCGTGCATGAATGAACGCAGGGCTTGAAATTAACCCTGTTGTAAATGCTGCTGCCCACTGCTGGGCCACAGAAACACCTTCAGGTGGGCCACAAATCTATTCAAAATTGTTAGTTATTGTTAAATTATTTAAATTTGAGAAATTGATTGTTTAAATAGAGAAAAGAGAAATAGATACCGGTAGTCATTTGAAATACAAAAAAATCTTTGTTTTAAAAAATTTGCTCAAAGCAAAGTCACTCAGAATTCACTTGAAAACAATAGTCTTCGGTGCTCCAGTAGTGTGTGTACCAATATGGAGGCAACTATTTTTGTTCGCCTTCTTTACATCAAGTTGTGTAAAAGGGCTGAAACATATGGGCAGGGGGTATATTCACTTGGCTAACACAGACAGTCCCCGAACTCGTAATTGAACCAAAATAAGGAAAATCAGAAATAATTATGCCCTAACCCTAACCTGGTACAGTGGTACACATACTTACGGACAGCCACTAGGTCACTTTTACGAATTCAAAATTGTTATTTTGTTTCCCTGGGAATAAACTGAATCATCCGTCCACAAGGAGACATTAATAATAGGACAGCATGTGTTCAACTCATTATTCTGTCATAAACAGTATTATTTGATAATAATGAGCAACTACACAGCGGGTGTGCTTGATGATTTCAATGATTGATTCGAATGAAATGATGACATCATAATGGAACCCATTATTATGATAATTTCAACCTTCATGAGCTCACAGTAGGAAAGGAACCATTATGAAGACATATTTTGTTTATAAAGACCACCCGTTCCGTGTGTTGGTACAAATGTGAAATCTAGGAATAATGGGAAATTTCAAATTGGTTTGAGTGAAGCTTCACGATATTTATAAAATCTATTTGAGGTCACTGCTCTGTGTATCACAATCTCCCTTCTTCTTGAATATTTGTATATGACTAAAAGTATTGGATATTTATGAGGTCTTAAATTTTTTTTAAATTGCAAAGGGGAATTTATTGATACCATATTATATTGTTGTATTAAATGAAGTAAAAATGCTTAACAATTACTGATTAAAAAACAACAAACCTGGTTATGATATATTGAGAATTGACTTCATAACAAAATTGAAATTGTAAAGGGACTTTATAGACACCCTGTATATTTCGACTGCATGATAAGTATAACAGATGATAAAATAATTGATAAAAATAGACAAATAAAACTGATTACAGAATCAGTAGAGCAATAAAACATCTTTTTATATAATTTCATTTGTTTTGTTGTTCTTGGTTATTGCATAAAATTTGACTTAACTTGCAACGATAAAAATAACAAGAGAGCTATGCTCAAATATATGGACACCCAGTGGCAATAATTTTGATGACGTCATAGCGAAAAAAAAAGTAATAGCCTTCTGGAGAAAAATTTTATCTTTAACCACTGAAAATATCAAAGCAATTGGTCCAGTATTCGAAGAGAAAAGCGATTTTTTAAAAATGGAGACGGAGACAAATGACAATAACAACAAAATTTTGAAACGATCGTTATGGCCACTAAACGTGTCCAATAAGACTAATGGGCTAACAACTCATTCTAGGCATGATTTATAACAAAACCACCATAGAGTGTGAGTGCCATGTTTTCATAATAAACCAACACATAGCCCCATCTACAAAAGTGATATGGTTAAGCCGATGTGCTTCCAATTTGATGTGCCATAATTTTATTCCGATTTTCCTTATGGTTTCTGGTTGAACTGAGAATATTTTAGTTATATTATGAGTTAGGAACTGTCTGTGTTAGCCAATCGAATATCATTCCTCTGTCCGTAGTAATCAGTCCCTTTGCACAACTGGATGTAAAGTAGGCGAACAAAATTAGTTACCTCCATATCGGTACATAAACTGCTGGAGCGCCGATATTTTGCAATATTACATCCAACACGCTGTAAAGTAAGCGAACAAAATTAGTTGCCTTTATATTGATACATACACTTCTGGAGCGCCCTATATTTCGCAATATTACGTCTAACACGTTTTTCATAATGAACCCACACATAGCAAGTCATTATCACATAGAGATGAGAATCATCATCCTGTAACCTGTAATTTAAAGTTTTTTCCCACACCCACTGTTTGATATCCATGACCTTAAGACATTATCAATGGTGTAATATTTTCAACCAGATGTAAAAATGTTTTATTCATATATATTACCATGTATGGTCCAATGATAGTCTATACTACTGAAGTCCGGCCCATGCTTGCAAAAAGGATCAATGCTGTATTTGTTGATATTGTGAAAATTAATGCTTTATACCCAAATGTTCAATAAAGTCTATGAATAATCGTCTTAAATTAGCAGATAGTCATATTTCAAAATTGGTATATTAATGTCTAATGTGAGAGTATTCTTAATAGTTAGTGAAAATTAGTGCCTTGTACCGGTGTATACTTTAGAAGGTTTGAATAAGCGTCTTAAATTATCTGCTTGTCATATGTTATTATGTTACAACATATGTCTGTACATCTATATTTATGTGTTTCACACATATACCGCCACAGTAAATCCAAATTAGCCTACATTTTAGCATCACATTTTGAGAAAGTCAAAAATTTCAGCCAAACTTGAAAATGTACATGGAACACTATCTAAAATCAAAACTAAGTACAACTTTGAAGCAAAAGGTTGTCCATAATAACAGGAGTTCAAAAAAGTGCATCTCTGAAAAATATGGAATGAACTGATTTTGTTTAACTACTGCTATATGTACTTGGGAGAGAGGGATGCGGTTAAGCAGTGGTTCCCAATCTTAATTTGAAATCAGCTTTGCGTTTAGCAATGTGGCACTCTTCAACTGCTCTGTTTCCCCCCGATAGGGAATCGCTGCTGTGACGGCAGACCAAAGATTCAATGACAAAGTCCAGAAATCTTATGTGTGTAATTGCCCTTGCAAGATTCGATCGAATCTGCGAACCCAGTCATGTTTATCAGCAATACGCTCCATCGAGAGTAATCATAGTTCGCCAAGTACCGACAAAATATAAAAAAATGGCATCAATACTATCAAGAAAAAAAATAATCATGTTTCTCTTTATATTCAGATCCGCTTCTCATAACAACATGTCAAGAATAGATCGAGACGGCTGGGATTTCTGCAAAGAATTAAGTCATCTGTAAGTTTTGTTTGTGACTGAAATAGAATAGAAGTGTTGTTGTTTTGGGAATGTAACGAGTGTAACTCAACTTATCAAAAAAAAGTGCAACTATAGTTCGCCAGCATATGTCACCTTTCAAGGTGCAGCCTTAGGTCTACTGCGGGACATAAACCTGTAACGAGAATATCGGTCAGAGACCGAAGACTTATCGATCGAAAGTTAGGGGATCCCCCAAAACAACGCTCTTACCCCATAGTGACACCTTGTGTCCCATCACTAATTAATTAATAACTCGCTAATTATACGACATAATTCATCCAAAATCAATAGGCTTCTGGTCCGACATATGAATGAATGCACATGCAAAATCTGGAGCAGATTTAATCTCGCTTTCGTGAGATATCGCGTGCATCTAACAGACAAACAGACAAATACCTATCAACATACTTACCGATTAAAATCGATAAGTAATAAACCACTGAAATATATGTTCAAAATTAAGTGACATGGTAGACCTACAGCAATAGCTTGAAGTATGAGATTTCACGCTATGCTATGGTATACCTCGTTCTATAGATGCACCAATGTTGGTATTTGACGAATACCATGAATTGCAAACATGAATGAATTACAAAAATCTGTAAGAAAATTTTTTTATTATTATTTTTTTTTAAACTCTGATCTCCTGTTGACTGTGGTCACCGTAACATACTGTGAGGTCTCTACCTCCTGCTGATGGGAATACGAATGAGCCATCTGTTACTGAATTAATAATGATGTTTTTGCTGATTTTTTTGTTTTGCTTTGAGTCTGATTTCTCTAGGAATTCAATAAAATACAAATTTGGGTACAATAGAAATAATTTAACATTAGGCTCGATATTGAAACGTTTTTCTATTTGATTGTTAACTTGTGTATTCATATTGACGTTGAGGCAAAAATTTCATTTCTTTTTGATTACTAGACTCGCGGCTCCAAACTTTTCGTTTAAGCGGCACCAAATTATCGGCAATTGGTGTCTGCCTCTATTTATTGATTCATGTACACAGCATTTAAAATAAAAAACAATAAAACATTTATAATATGTAAAATATTCAATCATATATTAGTTATATTTAACACAATTCTGTTAAATTTTGGGGCGCACTCGTTAAATCGACGGCGCACCATTTGAAAACCGCTGTATCTAGCAGTGCAGGATTTTTTATTTCAATTTTTACTTTTAATTTTAATTTACAGGGACCTGAGTTACAATCGTCTTCATTTGCTCGAATCTCACGGCTTCTCCCTTCTCGGCAAACTTCAGACCTTGAAGATCAGTAATAACATGATCACAGTACTTGAGGACTTTGCTTTTAATGGATTGGGGCAGTTGACATCTCTGTAAGTATTCTTTAGCCAAATAAGGAATTCTTTAGACTCTGTAGCTGACATCGACTAACTACCACGGGCCAAATACGGCCCATTGAGTAATTTAATCTGGCGCGCCTGATGCTGCCACATCCAAACTTTTGTTTTCCACTTTTGCTTTTGTAACACCGTAAATATTGTTCATAAAATGTAACTTTTTACGTCACACTTTCATAGCCCGCCAGCCAGTCTAGGTGAGCAAAATTTTTGGCCCGTTCTAAAACCGTTCCCACGCCTGCAGTATAGGGTGTCCATGAAGTCTTAAATTTTTTTTGAAAAAGGGAATATATTGTTTTGGTCCTCACAGATGTATTGAATGAAGTAAAAATACTTGAACAATTACTGTTTAAAAAACAACAAACTTGGTTAAGATATATTGAGAACTGACTTCATAACGAAATTGAAATTGTAAAGGGACTTCATGGACACCCTGTAATAAAATTGCAAATTTCGCGACCATTTATGCCCAATTTTTCAATTTTAGTAATTTCTGAATGCGAATGCCCTTTCAACAATTTCTTCCACACTTGAGTGAATATTATCGGACCATCTGTCAGCAGCCGTTAGGTTTTAAAAATAAAAGGCAGAAGAAATATATAATAATACATTCTAAATAGGCTTTGGGGGTTGTTTATCTTCAATTCGGTGCTATTGATTTCCTTTATTATACTTCGTGATACAGCCCTTCAATTAAATTTTATTCTATTGTTATGTCATGGATAGAAAACACAATTACAGGTGGATCCTATTGATACATCACAGGTGCGATATTAAGACTCATTGTGTCATAACAATGGATTGTCAAATATATTATTATGACCTCACAGTCAATGTAAATAAACATACTGGAATGATATTTAGAAAACGCTGGAAACCTTTTGTGCAGTTTTTGAAGTTTATTGAACAAATTTAGTCGGAGAATTTATAAAAACACTCCGGGTCACGCTCAGTGGACGCAGACAAAATGCTTTTATCAACACTTTGATTTACTTTGCAATATTTGCCGCATCAAACATAGAAAGGAAATGAATTGCAGACTGTCTGGTTATTGTGCATGAAAAACTTCTTGGAAAAAAGTTTTATTTTTAACATTTTCCCATTTTTACTCCAAAATTAAAGAAAAAGCATAAAAATCCAAACTTTATTCAAAGTGTTCTGGAGAATTAAACTGCAGTCAATTTACCCCATGTTAATGGGGTCATAATGAATGACATCAGATGAAGACCTCTGCTTGTGAATCTCCAGGGAAACACTCTGGGGCTCCTTGGAACAGGGGCGCCCAATAATTTGTGTGTCATACATAACAACTTTGTGCGGTGCTTAAAACACTTTTTAGACTCTTTAAAATCCACGTTTTTAGATCTGAAAAAATACTGAAAAAAAAAACGGCTTAATTAAACCAGTATGCTTACATAAAATATCATAAATTGAATTTTTTTTTCCAGGGATCTTTCATACAATGAAATATCGAGCAGCATTGAAGACATCAACGGTGCATTTCTTGGTCTCGATTCATTGGATACATTGTAAGTTACTAATTTATTTATTTATTTGTTCTGAGGAAGATTGATCAGACAACTTTATTCATACTGTATCAGTTTTGTGAAATGATTTCATGTTACTAGGAAAATTCCTCTTGAGGATGGTTTTACATAGGAAATATTTTACTTTGCGTAGCACAACAATACTGTTTATTTATTTCTTTTACAATCTTTTTTTACTTTTCAAAAAGGAGGCAACCTAACGTAAGTGTCTTGCCGATTTCTGTAACATTTCATTTTATATTGTTTTTCATCACATAGGTCTCTACGTCACAATCGTATTCGAACTTTGTCATCATCAGCTTTAGAAGGATTAGAAAATGTGGCAACATTAGATTTGTGTGAGAACGAAGTCACGTCTATACAGAATAAAACTTTCAAAAATATGAAGAATTTGGGAACACTGAGTATTGTCAGGTAAGGGATATTTTATTTCTTTCGTGTGGGAAAAATTAATGTTCAATTTGGTGATTTTTTTTTCTAAATACAATTCTAATATTCATTCTGTTTTACTGAACATATTTTGGCGCTCCAGAAGTGTGTGTACCAATATTGAGGTAACTATATTGTTTGCCTATTTTACATCAAGTTGTGTAAAGGGACTGAAATCTATAGGCAGAGGTATATTCACTTGGCTAACAAAGACAGTATCCGAACTCGTAATAGAACTAAAATAGGGAAAATTGGAATAAATTATGGTCTAACCCTAACCTGGTACACACACTACGGGAATACCCATATTTCTACCCATGTGAACGTATTGGAAAATTTCTGACAGAAATTCGTAAAACTGCTGGATGCTACGGGTGGAGAAGGACTAAAACCTACACTATTTTGTGGAAAGAAATTATGTTATTCTGAGTTCAGATTCTAAAATAATATTGTAAAAAATATTCAAGATGGAAAATTATTTATTTTTGATCATCCCTGGTTAGGTATATCTTGTTTTGTCTGAAGAAGTTAGACTATGAGTTACGAAAGACCACAAACATACTCGGAAAGAGATTACGTTATTTCTGTTTATCTTTATAATACTATCTCATGCAATTATCCTTGTGGCAACTGACAGAAGTAGAAAGTAGACTGGGATAAGGGAGGTAAAAATAAATTGCAATTTAGTACACAATGCCTCAATACCCACTGTATTACCTGTTGAACCTGACCAATTTTGAATATCTGCGGTGTTCCGTATTAAAAAAAATGTTCTATAATATATTCATAATAAAAAAGAATTCAATTTTGGTTAATGTCGGGTTTTATGTCTTTTCTCATTTCATGTGTTTTCACCCAAAATTAAAAGAATTCCATTTTGTTTGTTTAATCTACGCTTCCGTGGGCGTGAAATGGTGATCGTGAGTTCGGTTGGATGGGCGTTGACATATAACCAGTGCTGAAAAAACAAGTTAATTTTTCATTATCATCCAAGCATGGTATATGGATATATCTACTCTCAGTAGTGTAGCTTACACACGGGCCATGCTTGTTCCTAGTTTGGTAATTTTGCTTTTTGGCATTGGTTTCCGGGGGCAAATTGTCCTTTTGGGAAATATCTCTTTGAAAATTTATTTTGGGAATGAAAATGACAGAAAATGTCAAATTTCAGGAATGAGGGATTCGACTTTTTAAAAAATTCCGAAATAAAGTTTTCAAATCAAATTAGTTAGTAGATAGTGGTTTTATTCAAAATCTCACTTTTCTTATATATCAGTTACTGCTTATCCAGTGCCTTGTCTGTGGTGAACGGCATATATATTAAATCTCACATTGAAAAATGCATAATTCATTTCCCCCCTATGTCCAGAATCATCTAGTTACTGACAACCTGATTTCACAGGGCCCTTTTATTAAAGTAAACGACGGGAATAAACAGCGTATAAAAATTTATAGAAGTCCTCCAAATCTGCCAACTCGGTATATTTCACTTGACAAATTGCTGTTTTTATTTCCCCACCTGTGTGCCAGTCACGCACATTTGTTTTCATCACATAAAAATGACAAAAACTATTTTAATAAGTCCCGAATATGGTTTGTAGATGAATCGAGGATAAATCACACAATTTTCATCGGCCCTTGCTTGAACTTGATTAAATTTAGGAAATTTTCATAAATTGTTGTAGGTTTTGTGTTTATTATTTTTGCGACGAACGTTTCGTATATGTCGGATTTTTATTTGTTGATTATGAAAGACACTGCCAATGTTCTCTGTTGATGTTTTGCTCTTGTTTTCATAATAATTCGCTACCGTCACGAGATGTCAAAGATCAAATCTCGCGGATATTTGCATGTTCTCAGCAAGTTTTTTTTCAGTTTTTATACATTACTCATTCACAGTTTTCAAACATCCACTAATATCTAACAATACATAAAGATTTGATTTTGGAAATCTTTCCGAAAACCCGAAACTTTCCAGTCTAAAATGGCCTACGACATTGCTACCTTATTCGTTACACTCTTGGCAAGTTAGAGGGCATGAGATTTGAACCTGAGATTTGAATCTTCAATTTCAACATAATTAACCTTGTCGGTTTAACCTCTAACTAAGCTCTCACAAATGGTTAGAATGAACATATAAATTGGGATCCATGGCAGGTTATATTTTTTTATGGGTACTTCCGTAGTGTGGTTAGGTTAATTTATCCTGATTTTCCTCATTTTAGTTCTATTACGAGTTCAGGGACTGTCTGTGTTAGCCAAGTGAATATACCCCCTGTCCATGGGCTTCAGTCCCGTTACACAACTTGATGTAAAGTAGGCGAACAAAATTAGTTACCTCCATATTGGTACACATACTTGGAGCTCCCTCCTATGTGTTTTTGCACAATCATCGACACTGACAAGTACAACACTCAACTAGGCCATCAGGCCATCTTTAGGCCATCTTTCCAGTTCAAAATGGCCTACGGCATTGCTACCTTATTTGTTACACTCTGGGTAAGTTAGAGGGCACGGGATATGTACAAGTGATCTTAATCTGTAATACCAACATAATTAACTTTATCGGTTTAATTACCATCTCGCAAATTGTTAGAGTGAACATATGGACTGGGGTCCTTGACAAGTTATATTTCTTAATGTGCTTTTGTACAGTCAGCGATGCCAAAGTAATTGAATCGAACACTCTATTAGGCCAGTGTTTCTTAACCAATAGTTCGCAGCTCAAAACTGGGTCGCCTGAAAAATTTCTTGGGTCTCTTGCTTTTTTCAATATAAAACTGAAAGTTTCTGATTTTGTTTTATTGATTGTTTATTTTATATTTGGTTTTGAAGTGTTGCTCAATAGTAATTTTGAATGCATGGCGAGTATCAATGCGTAAACACTTGGCATCACTTGCTTCAGGCGGCGATTTTCAAAACTTGCTGATGGCAAACACGCGCAGTTTCCCACTTTAAAATAATTTCTGTGAAAATAAATGTTATATAAAGTTGATTGTTTTATATTATTCGTTTGATTTTTGTCGTAAGAATACTGCACGGTTAGTATTTGAGCTCACCCCTGGGTTGCAAGATTCTACAAAATCTGTTTGTTTGAAAATATGGGTTGCTTGAAAAAAAGGTTGCGAAGCACCATACTTAGGCTCGAAAATATTCTTAAATTTTTATGTATGTTGTGAATTTCATTGCAAAATACAGAAACACTCATTCTAACTTGCTAACTGTTGGTAAATCAGTCCCTAAACTTTATATGGCAATAAAATTTGATATTTGAATTCAGTTTTTTATGATTGCAATACAAACTATTTTATCTGTGCAACGCCCTTGTTTGCTACTATAAACTATAAAATGGATGCCATATTCATTGCTTTACATCAAATTTCAGATAGTTTTTATTAGTGACTAACCTAGCTATATTGGCATTACTGGTTCTGGTTCTCCCTTGGGGGCCAGACTCACAAGAAGCATACATTTTTGATTTTCCAAGCCGACCCCTTCATTTATGGCAGCGGTTGCCAACACGTCGATCACAGTCGATTGCCACGTCTCGAGTAGTCGATCGCGTCTGATGTTGAGTAAATTTAATAACATACTCAAAAAATTGCCTTGAATCAGTTTCATACAGCGCCTGTTGTGTGTTTTAAAACAGGAAGAATACAGTACTGAACATGCGCAAAATGCAAAATACAATATACACATGCAGTAATTGGGTATGGACAAGTGGTGGAATTTTGTATGCGTATTTGCAGTTTTCTACGTATTCATTCATTCTTGTTTATGACCTCATTACCGATCAATCAATTGATCGCGAGCTATTTTGAAGAATTTAGTCGATCGTGGTCAAAAGCAGGTTGGCCACCTATGACATGGGTTTGTGTAGATCAGGGACACGCAACAGCCGGCCTGTGGCCCACAAGCCAGTCTGCCAAGCCATTTAGTGTGGCTTAAACAGAGTCTCGTATCACTGCTGTATCAGGCTCAATATACCATGAGAATTATGTCTTTCTCCTATTGTTTTGTAACAATTTTGAAAAATTTGCTTCATCTTTGCTCAGAAAAATGTCTCTTTGAGGCAGACGAAATCTCGTTTCATCAATTTTTGACATTTTTCACAAAATTTCATTTCAAAAACTCTATCTAGACTTAGTAAATATAAAGCATTGTTTCATACAAAACACGTTATTTGAATAATCTCCAAACTGGCTACTAATCCTTATTTGATTTTACCGGAAAATAAACTTTTAATCCCTTTGATGACCGATAACAAAAGCAGATAGATCAAATAATAATTGTAATATTTTTGTAGGAATTTATATAATTTCCATATTTTTCCTGTGGGATGGGAACTAGTAAGACGACTTATTCTTGCGTAATTTTTATAAGCTTTTATTAATATGTATATCGGTAATTTTCATTTTTTTTTCTCAGAAAAAGGTAAGGTAATAAGACGGCCTTAGGCTCACCTAATTTTCGTAAGATTTGGAATTTGTATAATTTCAATATTTTTCTTGGTAGAAAAAAGCTGATAAGACTACTTAGGCTTGTCTAAAGTCAGGAATTCAGAAAACCTAGATATTTATAGCAATGACTGCTCATTCAGGTCCCTTATTTAGCGACATAATTCTGAAAAGTCATGACACAAAATAATATAATTTTTAGTACGGTATATGCTATTTTCCTAATTTTATTTCTTTCTCTTTGTAGTCTGTAATTGTCTGCTTAATGTATGCTCACAGTAAATATTAAATATTTCAAAATTTTGCCGTCGTGAACAAAATTATTTCAAAGTTTTACCGACATCAAACACAATTAAAAGGATTTGTTTGATGTATTGTCTGATAATAAAGACATTTAATTTCACTTTGTGACATAATAAAAAGAATTTTATATTGAGAGGCTGCAGCTGCCTCCAGTAAACATAGATTTTTATGATTCAAATTTTTTCTCTTTTAGATATTAAAGTCAAATATGACACCACTCCATTTGGAATGAATTACATTCTATATTATAAATTCTTATCATTACTTTTCCTCACCCGAAAAAATATGGAATTCATCATCTAACTAAGGGGTGTGCAACATGCGGCCACAACCCGCCTTGCCAACCCATTTTGTGTGGGCGTTGTGGCCTTTGTCAGCACTCAGATATTTCCCCATCAAATTTAAAATCAGAATCCAACAGTTTATGTTAAAATAGTCGCTCATGCATATAAAAAACATAATGTTTTTGCTCTTATTGCCGCTTTAAATTGTTCGCCGCTTGTCCTATGCGCTGTGACACATTACATTTGTATATGGAGCCACAGACTGAATATTCTAGGGCTTCAGAGCCCTTGTGATTTTAAATTAGCTCCCCAGCCCTTGCAGTACTATAGTTTCTTGTAATGGATAGACAATTCGTCACATAACAATTTTTTTAATATTATTTCAGTTCATCATTTCTCTGTGATTGCCAACTTGCCTGGTTTCCTACTTGGCTGAACGCCATGAATAATACAAGGCAAGGCTTCATGTATACAGTTGAAGGAACATGCTTCCACCCACCTGATCTGAAAGGAAGAGATATTTTGACAATTGAGGAATCAGAGTTTGTGTGTGGTGAGTGTTTGGTTGTATTAAAACCTAATTTTCGGGCTGTTTTTTTGAAGCAGAGATTATAGGAAATGAATTGGGCTGGAGCAGGGTTTCCCAAACTTGGGTCGGCGACGACCACAAAGGGGTTTCGCAACGATAAGTCTAAAACAAAAATTTTAAGGTGCTCCCGAAGTATGCGAACCAAGATGGCGACATCGAAACGTAACATGGGTAACAGGTTAGGGTTAGGCGATAATTTTTTTTCCAATTTTCCTTATTTTAGTCCTATTATCAGTTCGAAGACTAGCCAAGAGCCTCCCGCAGTATTTATACCTAAAATTATGGCCTAATCCTAACCTAGTACACATATTACATTCCGATGTCCGCCATCTTGGTTCGCATACTTCGGCGGCCCCAATTTTAACATATATCCACTGGATATCGGTGACCAAATAGATCATAATCTTATCAAATTGCTGTTAGTCTACCAGTATTCACAGTTAGTATGTATGGTTTCAGAATGTTTGATTTCCTCAAAGGAAACATTCTTCCTCGTTGATTAGGCACAGAAATTGATACGACATAAGATGGGGGGCGTCAAAAATAAGATTCACAAACAGAGGTGCACGGCCCAAAAAGTTTGGGAAACATTGCTCTAGAATAAAACACTTTGCTAAATATAGTTGATTATTTAGTCCCAGACTTATAACATTTGATGCAAATGTGAATTTCTATCCCTGGCCCTGTTTTTCTCAAACTGTCATGATAGAAATATAGGAAAGAAATTGAAACCTAGTTTTTGAGCTGTTTTCTTAAAGTGGTTATTAGAGGAAATTAGTAGGGCTAGAATAAAACACTTTGCTAAATATGATTGATTATTTAATTCCAAATTTATGAAATTGAACACAAATCTGAATTATAATGTCTCACAACCATTACCTGAAAATTGGTGGAAACCACCCATAATAAAAATATGACCCCATTTCTTACCAAACAAACTTTTTTTGACACCCTTGTATATTAACCACAAAAATGTTGATCGGCTATTTGCTATAAATTTAGGTCAATTTGTAAGAAAGTGTTAGTTTCTCTTTATAATTAAATTAACAAAAGGAGCCACAAATTACCCAAAACAACAGCTGTGTTTAAAAGTATTTTTATTTGGTCAGAAAACTCCACGAAAAATAAATACCTTTATATTATTATGCAAGTTTCCTCGAAGTGAGGTTCCAAGCTTTTGGCTATGAGTGCAAAAATACTGATAGTAGCTTCAACTTTGTTCATTGTAAGGCCCCACGCCCTCAACCAAAAGTAGAAAAAGTACTGATAGAAGAGTTGCAAGTTTGTTTAAAGCAAGCTCCTGAGTCCTCAATTAAAAGTGAAAAGAGTACTGAAGAGTTGCAAGTTTGCTCAAAGCAAGGTCTTAATCACTCAACTAAAAGCAGAAAAAGTACTGATAGAAAAGTTGCAAGTTGTTCAAAGCAAGATTCTGAGCTTTTGAAAATTTATGGAAAAACTGCCAATAAAAGGTTGAAGTAACTGATATCCCATTTAGAGTTTTCCTTGACTGTATTCTCCAACATAGCTAAGTAAAAATTTGTGGCCAACTCATAAAGAGCATCAGGGAATTGAAAATGTCAAAAATGGCATATTTTTATCACAAATCTTTCCCAGAAATGCAGAATAATGGTGCCATAGTTAATAATCCATGACAAAAATTTTAGGAATTCAATTATGGGGAAAAGTTTTATATATAGCATGATTTTGACAGCCCATCATTGAGAGAAGTATAGATATTATTTGATCCATTATACATATACATAATTTTTGTGGTTTGCTCTTTGATCGTAATAAAATGGGGCTTGTAGTTCACGACCACACACAGAGTGGATTAATGTGAGCAATGATAGTTCTGTGGTAGAAAATTTGCCAGTCATTAGAGATACCATACTAGTGTTTTAGTTATTCAAAGAATTATCAAATTATCAATATTTTGCCTATTTTTATGAGACATTTTTATACCTTCAATATGGAAATAGCTTAGCACATGCATCCACTGATACGCAAGAGACTACTATTTTTGGGAAGATTGCGTCTTAGAGCTTGTGAGTAGTGATGCTGTGGTGCCAAGTGCCAACCTAGTCTAACAATATAATAACTAGGCTATCATTTCCCAGCGTTTCTAACATTGTTAGGTAAACGTCTTCCCTCTTTTGAAATGTGAAAAAAAAAAATTTTTCTGTATCATACATAACAATTTTTCATTGCTTGGAACGCTTTTTGGTCCCACAAGACTTTTTAAAAACCACATATTCCAGCCTCCAACCGGATCCGCTAGAACAGTGCTACTCAACTGGCGGACCGCGGTCCGAATACGGACCTTTCGAGTATTTGATTCGCACCGCACCTAATTCTTTAGTTTGGATCATTAGCCCAACTTTTAAAGTTCCCTTTTATAAATGACTCTTATAGTTTTGAGTATATATGAAAAGAAATATAACACCATAATAAACAATCTTGATTAGCTAATAATTATTAGCCGTTCGAGGAAGTGTGCGAATAAGGATGCCGAAATATGATTTCTGGAAAGACCGGACCTAAATAATTTTGAAGTTTTGGTTGCGGATCTTCAATGAAAATAGTTGAGTAGCCCTGCTCTAGACGTTATGGTCTAACTTTGCAATTATAAATTTCAGACGGCCAAAATTACCCAAAACAACACCTGTGTTCAAAATTATTTTAATTTGTCAGACAATATTTAATCTTGGTTAGAAAATTCGGAGCTTCAGAAGTATGTGCACCAAGATGGCGCATATCCTGAACATAGTGTGTGTACCAGGTTAGGGTTCAGGTTGTGCGCCATCTTGGTGCACATACTTCTTAAGCGCCAGAAATTATACGAAAAAAATACCCAAATATTTTGGTTGGCTTTGGGTATGAAAATATATTAAATTCATTCTCTATTTATTTCAGTCGACCACCCAATCCCTGTACTATTGCAAGAACCAAAAGGTAGAACAGCTTTAATCGGAGACAATATCACGCTAGAATGCAGTGCGAGCGCTGCGTACACTGACGTAGAAAACGCTACGTTGGCTATCTCCTCTACTACAACAACAGAAAGTCCACCTAGTATGGAATCAGACAATCCTCTACCCAATTCTCGATCAAGGGGAGGGGGCTTCCCCTTGAAAGCTGATGGAACTGGGGAGGAGGGAACGGAAAAGAAACGAACTACCACACAGCGAAGAGACGCAGGGAAGAAATTCAATTATGATAAACATGGGATGGCTATCACTTGGAAGCGAGAACAAGAAGTATGTGAAACTTTATTGAACGGATCCTTTTTAATTCAAATTTTGAATAATTGAGGATTCTATCAGAAAATTAAAAAATAAAGTTTCTCCCAAAGCTATTATTTCTATGTATTTTCGGCGCTCCAGAAGTATGTGTGCCAATATTGAGGTTAACTAATTTTGTTCGCCCACTTTACATCAAGTTGTGTAAAGGGAATTAAATCTATGGGCAGGGGGTATATTCACTTGACTAACACAGACAGTCCCGAACTTGTAATAAAACTAAAATAAGGAAAATTCGAATAAAAATATGGCCTTACCCTAACCTGATACATATACTACGGGAGTACCCCTTTCTCTCCCTTGACAAATATTAAAATGTCATCCGAATTTTCTACAGATTATCAAGGCCAGCACTAAGATTGAAATCAGGAACCAGACACAACAACAGGGCGCCTATGTCTATGTAACAAGCATTCTAGTGCTGCATGGAGTATCTGCCAAGGATACTGGGAAATATAAGTGAGTGTATTTTGTATCAGTGGTTAATTAGAAGCGGAAGGATATTCGCAGGCTGGCAGAGTGGGACGTCTGCAAGAGGCCCATATCGGTATGCATAATCAAGATCCTGGTATAACTGCATCATTATGCATCTACTGTTCCTAAACTGTGATAATGACGTAACAATTGGTAGTATCTAGAACGCTAAAAGCATAAAGTTTTGAACTATTCCACTCAAGATTGACAGGTCATTGTTGCGACCGCAGGCCGTGGTTTGGGAACCACTGGTTCATATGGACCATTTGCTTATGATGTTATGACTCACTTTTTTGATGAGTCATAGTCAAGTTTTTAGAGCCTTACTCTGAGCTAATGTAACTGTTTAATTATTATTTTCAGTTGCATTGTGAGTAATAATTATGGTTACGCTCGATCGACGCCAGCACAATTAACAGTGAATGAATATCCGAAGTTTACGAAAACGCCGGTCAACGTTACCATAGTCAAGAATGGATCTTCTGCGTTACTCGATTGTGCGGCTACTGGGCAGCCTTCTCCTCTAATAACATGGCAAAAGGTAATTTTTCTAGCTTTCTATCTGTGATCAAAAATGGCTTTAATTTGCTTTCTTCGACAAATTTTTCAGTTGTGAAATGGATTTCCCAAACTGAGCTTGTATCTTCAACTAAAACTAACCTGGTACATAAATATTAAGTTCCGGTGTATGCCATTTTAGTTCACATACTTCGGGAGTACCAATCTACTCAAATCATGCTAAAAAAATAATCTACTTCAAATTTCAAACAGTAACACTCGTATATCTCACCTCTATTATCTTCTGAGATCAAATGTATTGAATGAGAACTTTGACATTTTCTTATGGATTCATCAGTGGAAGCGTAACTATGCGCATCTAGACCGGTATCATCTGGAAAAAACAGGATTAGAGTAATTTTGCTCTTTAGGGAACTAACTAAAACTAAGCTTAAGTTAACTTAATTTGAAGCGCAATAATGTCTGTTCTTCGGTACTGTATTATCAGTTTCTTGGGGTAGGTTATTCTTTCCTCTCACCAAAAGGTGAAATTCAAATATCAATTTGTCTCTACAGGATGGAGGTAAAGCATTTCCTGCAGCCACTCAGAGGAGGTTACTACGCGAGCAAAAAAATTTAAGAAAACTGTCAGACGATGAAGAAAATGAAGATGACAATCTTGAAGGAGGCGGAGGGATGCTCTTAAAACCAGGTTTAAGCGATGAAGCGGAAAAAGACAGCAAGGATGAGAAGTTTGCAGGTAACAGAAATTCTGTCCGTTATGGTTCACTAGTGACAATTGTGCTTTTGAAAAGAATAAAGTGATAAAAAAACCAGCATGATGACCTGAGCAGTGGTATGCAACCTTTAATACACAAGGGCCAGATACAAATAACTGAGTGAAACTGCACCTTACTTTAAATGGGTTTCAAGTAATTGCAGGCACAGTCTGATAGGCCCAGTTCATATTAGACCAGCTATGGTGTCGCAGGTTAAATATCTCGGATTTCAAATCCCATCCTGGGGCGCAGCCGTGGATTTTCAAAGAGAGGATCTGAAATATCTATTTGCCAAGTTAGACCTTATCAGCTAACTCAAGGATTCTCAACCTTTTCTCTGTTAATACCCCCCGAGTCACGAAACAATCAACGGAACCCCCAAAGTCACGAAACAGTCAATGCGAACCCCCAGTAATCATACAGTAAACTAAATTGTGATATATTGACTTACAATTTGCTGCAACGACTGCCAAGCCGTGCATTTCACATTGTTGCATCACAATCACAACAACGCAAGATCAGGGAAAATGTACGCTGAGTTTCAATTGGCACATATTTTTCTCTTGTAGTTACTTTCTTCGTTAAAGGATATTAAAAAAAAAGCAACACACGAAAACTCGACTGTCGTCCAAGTACCCCTTGAAATCTTCTCATGAACCCCTGGGGGTTCGCGAACCCCAGGTTGAGAACCCCTTAGCTAGCGGGTCCTGGTCTAAAAGGCATTTCAAGTTACGAAAATTACTGTATTAGACACAGGAAAAAGCCTTTTTCTACATTTCAAGTCGGGTTCGGACATCAAAACCTTCCACACTGCTCCCCTGGTTACACCCCATACCCCTTGAGTAGGGAATGTCAAGTTAGAAATGATCCATGCCTTCCCAAAAAGTGCTTTTTACATACCAGAGGCTGTGCAGAGTCCCATTTAGAGTGAAATGTGAAAGCATCTGACAAATAAATTTTTCATTGTTTCAGTTGACGCAGATGCACCATTGAAATTTGGAATTGTTCTTCCTGAAGACGCTGGAGAGTACGAATGCGTTGCTCAGTCGAGTGTGGGAAGAATCGTGGCCAAAGCGATGCTTATAGTAGAAAGTAAGTTAATGGGAATACTGTTATCAGTAAAGCGTTGCACTACGGAAAAATATTATCTATTTTTATTCATTAAGGGGAGTGATTTTAGCATTCTCGATAACTAAATACTTCTACATCTATAATGCAACTCGAATTTGGTAACTTGATTGAATACTTAATAATTATGTTCTGGTATTTACAAGTTTGTTTCAAGTGAGGTCCCATTTATCAACTAACAGTAGAAAAAGGGAACTCCTGAAGCAATGTTCCCTCTAATTTTTTGTAGTATGTGTGCGCAGAAATTTTGTTGTGTGCGCACTTTTTTGGAAATGACTAATATTTGTGCAAAAACCAATGAAGAAATTTTGGCGTTCTAACCGGGTAATAAGTGGTCCAACAACAAACTTTTTTAACCTGCCAACCGAGCACATTGTTACATCACATCGAAATACGTCTGTGCGCAGTAATTTTATGCGTGTGCGCAGTCTCTGAAAGCTGTGTGCGCGCGCACACGCGCACAACTTAGAGGGAACACTGTCCTGAAGTATGCGCACCAAGATGGCGCACAACCTGAACTCAGGTTAGGGTTCAGGTTATGCGACATCTTGGTGCGCATACTTCAGGAGCACCAGAAAAAGTACCTGTAGCAGAATTACAAGATAACTATATATATAGGTTTATCATCTTCATAGACACTGTAGCAGTTTTCTCCCTTTACCCGAATAAATATGAAAAATTTTAATCAATTTCTTTAAATTTTTAGTCGAACCAACTTTTACCAGACCAATTCCTCCAGTGTCCAAAGCTGTAGTTGGTGGGGACGCTGTGTTGAGATGTATAGTAGGAGGAAATCCAAAACCAGAAATAATATGGCAGTTCAACGGCCGAGAATTGAATATCACGTCTCGACACTATTTGGCAGTAGAGAGACAATTGTTAGTGATAATAGACGCTCAAATGTCGGACGCTGGGAAGTATATTTGCATCGCGGAAAATAAACAAGGCATCATTGAAGGAGAGACTGATCTTCAAATAACAGAAAGTGAGTTGGAATTAATAATTTTAATCTCGATTTTGTTTAAACAAATTCCTTCAGCTATTTTTTAGCTAAAACATCATAATTGGGTTCTATTTCGATTGTGGTGCCATCAGGCGAGCCAGATTGAATTACCCAACAGGACGGATTTGGTCCACGTGCTGTAGTTTGCCCACGTCAAACCTTATTCAAAGTGCACCATAAATATTTTAAATTATCTTTTAATTCCAGACCCATCTAATGATAATTTATGGAATAAACTGTTCAATGGAAGTGTACCAACGGGAATCGTGCTTCTGATTGTATTTGGTTGTATTATAATCACTTCTCTCATATGGCTGGTGATTCTTTGCTACTCAAGAAGAGAACAAGAAAAGGCATTAAGCACCAATACAGGTACTTTGACTCAACTATTTGACTTGGGTCTAGGTAGGTTTTATCTGTGGGGTGTGCAACGTTTTTTTGTCGGTGGGCCATATAACCAACTTGAGACAACTAGCCAGACCATAAACAATGAAGAAAATGTAGTTATTGCTTAGCCTTGCCTAACTATTTTTAAGGGGGTTTTAGTCTTGATTCCAGAGAAGGTTTATTTTGTCCAGAGTTATTGGGTCTTGTGTTTTTCTTATGAAGTCCATGCATCTGAAACAAATAACTGGTTAACTAATCCCATACCCGTCATGGAATGGTAACCAGACGAGAGGCCATGGTATGCCATATGAGGAAGCCGTCATATTGGCTTCCATTTTCCATGGGATAAAAATGATATTTTATCCTCGTGATACAATTGGTTTTCCTAACCATCACACTAGTAGTTCTCAGTCAAGACTCTTTTACTTGTGAGTGCGTGTGACTTTGCTTGAAGAAAATTCTCTAAAATGTAAAATTAATCTAATCCTGTTTTTTCCAGATGATACCGGTCTAGATGCGCATAGTTACGCTTCCACTGATGAATCCATAAGGAAATGTCAAAGTTCTCATTCGATACATTTGATTTCAGAAGATAATAGAGGTGAGATATACAAGTGTTACTGCTGTAAATTTGAAGTAGATTGTTGACTTTTGCCGACAAATTTTTATCACTTTATTCTCGCTCTGGGCAATAAAAGTCAGCCTGGAAGTTGAAGCAGAATCCCAACATGGGGGCACGGGGCCACTCAAGGGGGCCACCACAGAGCAGTTTGTAGCGGCCACAATGTCAGGCGCAAAACTGATTTCACTTTCCTTGACAAGAAAACTCCTCATTCTTCCTAGTTTCATTGTTTGATAAGGTTATTTCACAGGGCGTTTTCACTTGGCATACTAAACAGGAGAGCCACGAGTTCTAAAAAGTTTAACTGGGTTAGAATCGCAGTTTACAAATCTCGGGTACAAATCCCATGAACTCCACGTGTAATGCCTTACCCGTATGTAATAAATTGAGTATGTAATGACGAAACCGAAATATTTTTCTCTCTTTCAATTAATTAATTAAATTAAATTCAAATTAAATTCAATTAAAGCGTCTATAAGTGTCTGAAAACCAAAAAAAATCATGTACTTACTATTATTTTCAATTTAACACTGTTGGGAACCACTGCTTTAGACTTAACTGGGTCAGAATCGCAGATTACACATTCTGGTTAGTTCGAATCCCATGCGCCCCACATCTGCCAAGATGTAATAAAATTGGGAGGTTATGTCGATCTAGAAATATTTTGGTACTTTCATATTATGAGTGGCGGCTTGTAAAGGGCAGTGTTCTGAGCAAAAAACAGGAATAAGTGTCTATAAAAACCAAAAAAAATCATATGCTTACGAACATTTTTCATTTTAACACAGGTTCAGCACTTAAGCACTCTATCCCATGCCCTCCACATGTAATACTCTACTAAGATATAATAAATTTGGTATTTTTAAATAATAAGTGGCTGCTTGTAGAGAGCATTGTTCAGAGCAAAAAGCAGAAATAAGTGTTTGAAAAAAAATCATGTACTTAATATTATTTTTCAAATCAACACAGGTCCAGCGCCAAACACTCAATATGAAATGGTTCGATACCAGAGTTCAGCGTCAACATCTAACATACCAGACATGCAGATCACCCTGTGCCGGTCACGTGGGTCTCAAAGAACTGGATACCCCCCTATGATAAGCCCGACATCACCCTTGCACCCAGCTTTTAGACAACCCCCTCCAAGGCGATCACTGTCTTCATCTGCTATCAAGAGAGAACAAATTATTTTACCAAGGTGGGTTTTTGCAATTAAACGTCGCACATCCTGAATATATTTAAATTTCATACTATTTTTATATTAATCTTATTCGGCATTTTAAATCCTTAATTTACGGAGTCATTTTAAATGTGCAATTTGACAGTACGACCAAAAAGGCCGGCGTGTCCTTAACAAGTATTCATTCACAATTTACAAGTATTCATTCACAATTTAATGAGGAAGGCACCTAGTCTAACTGAATTCAGGCTGTATTCTAAAAATTTTGCTGTTCCTGATCAAAAATACTTCATTGGATTGAAATTATAGAATGGTAAATAGTTTGCAAAAAGAAAAGATAGGATATGAACTCGGGTACTCTCAGCCAGTCACTCATGCTAGTATTAACCGAGGGCGACTTTGCTAAACTTGCGATCTCAGACTCACTCCCTGTTTTACTTTCCTTAGCTGATTTGTTCAGAAAACTTTTTGCGCTTCAAGTTTTTCCACACTGGTCCTGTATAGTGACCTGTACTCCTATAGTATGCTATATCTACCAGGGCAAATATCCTCATATATTTTATTGAGTCATAAAATTATTTTACGTCATGTCATGAGTGAGGTTTAGTCTATGAGTCATTAGTATTAGCAAGCTGTTATTACCCCTACCTTCGTTTAGTAATTTCACCATTTCTCTGGTTATCGGTTCTTTACATAATATGACATATTGGTAGATACACTTCTGAGGCGCCAAGTGGCCTTTGTGTTTATAAGTTTGTACACTGTTCTCTCGTTTAAAATATATTCTCGAACTTTAAATAATCCTGAAAATTCTGAAAAATTTCAGATTCAAGTCGACTGAAAACTTCAGGATAGTCGATGATGTGAATCCTGTCTTCTCTCGTCGTCCAGAATCACAACACAAGATAGGGGGCGCTAAAGCCCAATTAAAATCACCACTCACAAGTCCGTCGGCTTATTTTGCACGAAAAGCAGCTGGGGATGAAAACTACGTACCAGTCGTTTTAAAAACCCAATCGCAACAAAAAGCCTCTCAACCAACAACACTAGGTGGCAGTCAGGAGCCACTGAAAACGAAACGAACTAGGGTCAAAGGTCAGAAACAACGTCAGCAATCAAAAGAGCAAAAACACAAAAAATCTATACAGCCCAGATCCAGAGTGCCTAATGGTACGTGCAATAATGCTGGAACAAGGGGCTCAGGGAGGGGGATTTCCCCTCATAATAATAAGGGTAGAATAGGTAACGATCACCTTCCTTTACACAATGAGCAAAACACACGTCAAAGTGATAAAAAGAACAACTTTGGAAAAACACGAAATCATGATTCAGCAAAAATAAAAAATGCTGATTCATGGCAAGGACACAGAGATCGTCGAAAAATAAATTTAGACTCGACCAGTTCTGTAGAGTTGTTACCGCTTGATGGCGCCACTTCAAGACATTTACGCAGCCCCTCTGATAACAACCAGCCTAAAATCAGCAGCAGCTCAGGAAGCAGCAACCCTGCTGATTTTAGCACAACCTCTGAATCTTCAGCTTTATTACATCATAATAATCACTTGATGCAACACAACTGCCCAACGCCGCCTAGCGGCCAGGAAAATTCAAGATTGTTAACGACGATTCCAGTCTGACATTTTTCCCAATTTCATAACATATACCGTGTTTCCCTTAAAATAAGACCGAAATTTTTTTGGACCTAGTCGATAGCAAGAAATCTCTTCTGAACGTTTTTCATGTTTTGCAGTTATTTTGAATAAAAACTGTTTTTTATAAGTAACTGAATATCGGTTTTCATATTCTGTAAAAAACGAAATGAAAATCTTGTAATTCTGTACTTTGTAGTTTTGTTTTTGATAAATGAAAATAAAAGACATCCCCCGAAAATAAGCCCTAGTATTTTTTACGGAAAAAATTGAAATATGACCTAGTCTTGTTTTCGGGGAAACACGGTAGTAGTAGCCCCATGCATCTGGAGACGACTCGTTCAGTGTCTTGTTCGAGAGGGTCGACTTAGAAAAAAATATTTCAACTTTTAGCTTTAAATTACAATAACAGGAATTTTTAGTTATAGGTACTACTTTTTTTATTATTTTTTTTTGCCAAAATTTTTTTAATTTTCATTGCACTGTATTTTTTTCTCATTTGTTATGTCCGTTTTGTCAACTTTTCATTTTTTCAACTCATTTTTATGAAATCGTGTTTTTAAACTCAATTTTGGGGTCAAAATCATGAAATTTTTTAAATTGTTGATTCTAATTAGCCAATGATTACGTACTTTAAAAATTTGCGAATGACTATATAATCAGACTCCTTGCACCACCCAGATCTGGAAAAATCTTTTGAATTTTTCTGATGAAAAACGATACTTTAGTCATAAAACATAGTAGATTCATACGTTTTACCGTCTGCTTGTCTTAAGCCTTGCAAAGAGTGAAATTAGGGAAACATGTTATAAAACAATGATTCTAAACTGTCAGAAATGTTAGCTAACCTCATTCAACCCCCCCTTTTTGTGAAATATTGAGCGACGCTCGACCCAAATTTCTTTCCATGATAAACTTCTTGCTTAATTTATGTAAAAAATCCATTTATTTCAAAATTCAACTTTGTACAATCCTTTCGAATCCCTCAATTGAATTGAATTTTAATTATTTCGAAACATTCGACAATCTTCTATAAAGAATAGATTTTATGAGTTACCATAGTACATATAAATAACTGACAATTCCATGCTTTGAAAAATCTCTCTGATTTAACTAGATAATTGCACAACATGTTATAGAAGATTTAGTTTAACCAAACTGTCAAAAATTTTTGCTTTTCCCCCCTTCCTCCCCCCCCAATTTCTGAATGATGGAGCATTGATTTGTTCTGAAAATTCAACGGGGCTCCTGAAGTATGTGAACCAAGATGGAATGTAATATGTGTACTAGGTTAGGGTTAGGCCATAATTTTAGGTACAAATACTACGAGAGGCACTTGGCTAGTCTTCGAACTCATAGTAGGATCAAAATAAGGGAAATTGGAATAAAATTATGGCCTAACCCTAAACTGTTACCCATGCTACGTTTCGATGTCCGCCATCTTGGTTCGCATACTTCAGGAGCACCAATTTGACTCTGTATACTACTTTTTAAATCAATAAAACTAATTTTGTTGTTTTATAAAAATAATTTCAATGCAGATATTCAGCTTTGCAAAACCGTTAGCCATGGATAAATATTTGGTTTTACCGGTTTGCCATTCATGATTAATAAATAACCTGTATCAAGACACAAACAAATTTCTAAAATCATGTCCGTTTCATTAATTCAAGTTTTGAAAACCGTTAATTGTGGATAATTGGGTTTACCGGATAATCGTTTCTGATTTTATCCTATATCAATATTGATGGTTGTTTTCAAAGAATCTACAAAATATATTCAACTTTGACATTATTTATAATTTGCCAAATCTTTGAAAAAATCCTATTTTTTTGTATTTTAATGTAACCACTCAAATGAAATTGTTTTTTAAGGGTAATCACTTAATTTTTCGTTTTATTTTTTCACAAAAAAAACTCAATTTTTCTTCAGGTTTCATTGTTTGAGATTATTGTTCATTGTGTTTTTGTTGTGATATCATAATTGTTAGCTTTGTTTTGTCATAATTTCATTTAGCTATTGTTGTCCCTAGAATAGCCTTTGAATCGATTCTTTTTGTCCCAGGCCTTTTTGTGGGGATTAGGGGTTCAAAATAAGGGCTTCACTTGTATTACTATTTTTCTTCAGTCTTTGATTTGATCCATTTTGTCCTGGGGAGTTCCAAATACAAGAATAAGTAAAATTAGATGACTCTGGTCTCCCAACGATTGTGTGTAGTGAAAACATTGAAATTTTGTGGAATGAACATTTACACTCATTTAATATTTAGCTTCAGCATCCTATATGTCGCAGCGCTGGATTGGATTGAGGAAGGCGTCGCCTGAATCCTCCCTCCTCGTTTTTATAAAATATGGTGATTTCCCCTCCCCCACTATTTGAAAAAAACTTTGATAAACGTACCTGCAGTCTCAAACATTATTTGAGTTAATGATTCTGGCTTCCCCCGTTACCGCTATCAATCAATGAGAGCGAAATTTCCTCCTGCCCACCCCAGAATCTTTAAAAAAGTCTGTCACATCTGAGAAACTATTGCATTTGTCTCATTGTGTTTCCTTTTTTAGTTTTTATTTATTTTACTTTGAGCACATTAGTTTGTTTGTCTATTTTAGATCTCCACTTTTTAATAAAAAATATTTAAAAATATTGCTTCTGTGCTCGGATGTTAGAACAGGGTGATTCCAGGCTTTATTACCAAGGTCAGAAATTTCTTCACTACGTTGGTTCATGATAATAACTTTCAACTCCAGGGTGATAGGAGGCGCCGGAACCGACCAGACGTTATGTAAACCAATCTGCATCGACGGTCAATCCAGCAATTCTCTTGCCCAAATTTGTTCCCTGCGACAGTGGTTCCCAAAAAGCGTAGACACTCCTTGATGCAATTTTGCGAGCAGCAATGTTTTTGTTCGCTGGAAGAGTTTAGTGAACATAGTGATTTTTTTAGTATTTCAAAAGAAAATCGGGCAGAATTGAGGAAAAGTCGAGCTTTTGCCTTTATTCTTGAAGCCGTAAGGTATACATTAACGATCATAAAATTGAGTTTTATTTGGAAGCAAAATTTTTTTCGTGTAGGTGCGCTTGATAGTTTGCCGCAGCTCGAATAAAAAGTTTGTGAACCGCTGACTACGGTATTTACACCTGAAAATTCACATAAAATCATTTTGCGGCGATGACTAGCGTATACACAACACCCCAGAATCCGTAGCGTCAATTCTCTACGAAAGGTTTTTATTTACATCAGAAACAGTTGTATATTATTCCACCACACTGGAATTACACATTATACATACAGAATTAAGTGAGAAAATGACTTTTTGGCGCGAATGGATACTCGATAAGGAAGTTATCGAGCAGCAGAGTTGAACATTAAATCACACTAGGGTAAGAATGATGAAAAATAACAGCACAACGGACCTAAACTTCAGTTATAGGCTACTCGTTAGGGGTGCATGTCTCACATCCGTGTCTTAGGCCAGTAAGGTATCGAACATTCATCCCCTCTCTGTTATGCTGTTTAATTATTATCCAGTTACATTTTTGAGACGAATAAACATACATGCATACTAAAATGACCTGGCGAATAGATACGTAGGTGTACAACCTGCGGCCGTCGAAGGTGAAATGTGCGCCGTGCTGGTGTGTGTGTTTTACTGCAACATAATTGATGTTTTATGTTGACACTTGACTGTCGGCTTCTCTTCCGACTATAGATTAAACTGTTCAAATATCGGTGCTCCCGTAGTATGTGTACCATGTTGGGCCATAATTTTATTCCAATTTTAGTTTTATTACGAGTTCGGGGACTGTCTGTGTTAGCAAGTGAATATACCCCCTGTCCACAGGTTTCAGTCCCTTTACACAACTTGATGTAAAGAAGGCGAGCAAAATTAGTTACTTCCGTATTGGTACACATACTTCTGGAGCGCCCAAATATCTCTTATTCATTGAATTTATTCGATTCGATGAAGATATTTGGTCCCCCTTAGAAACTTTTGTTCAGAATATGGGTTTGGATTTTACTATTTCATAAGCCTTTCAGACGCAAAGCGGCAAGTCCATGAGATATATCAATAAAAACCTATTTTTTCAATTAAATATAGCTTATAAAATGACAGTCCCGTAGTGTGTGTACCGGTACCAGGTTAAGCCATAATTTTATTCCGATTTTTCTTATTTTAGTTCTATTTGGAGTTCGGGGACTGTCTGTATTAGCCAAGTGAATATACCTCTGTTCATAGGTTTTAGTCCCTTCACACAACTAGATGTAAAGTAGGCGAATTAAATTAGTTACCTCCATATTGGTACACATACTTGTCGATCTTACTGGCGGCCGTAGACCTTTTACAAAAACATAATGAGGCCGTCTATGGAACTGGTTTAGGCGATCTAATATTTCCAGTATTCACACGAGTTCCTGTTCCACAAGAGTTTTATTCAATTGAAGAAAATTCAATGTCATAAATTCATTAATACTTCTGCTGCATGGAATTCTTCTTCTTCCCGCCACAACGGAAATGTCCGGAACATACAAACTTTGTTGCACTGGATGGAAACAATATCCGATCATCTATAACCGCTTATCGAAAATATCTCGAAAAAAAAATTTGTACTGTATTGAAAACTATTGCTATGAGAAGGAAACCTATAGGGCTTTTTTGACTTAGAGTTATTACTTACCGATCTCGAGTGTATTGATAGGTATTTGTCTGTTTGTTTGTTTGTCTGTTAGACACTTTCGTATGTTACGCGATATCTCACGAAAGCGAGGTTGAATCTGCTCCAAATTTTGCATGTGCATTTATCAAATCTCGGACCAGAAGCCCATTGATCTTGGAAGAATCGTATAATTAGCGAGTTATCAATTAATCAGTGATGGAACACGCGGTGTGTTTCTGTTTGGGGATATCCTCTAACTTTTGTCGCTGTGAACGATCGATAAGTCGGCGGTCTTCGATCGCTATCTAGTTTTGCTTTTAGGTTATTAGGAAAAATTGCAGATCTCAATTAAATCCAAACCGACCATAACCCTAACCCAAGTATTAGTAGAGTAGACACTAGGCAACAGGAAGTGAACAAAATAAAAAGGTAAAATAGCCTACATTTATTGATTCACATACA